AAAAAAAAAAAGGAATTCAATTGCAAAATCAAATTGTTTGGTTTTGGCAGTAGTCACTTGGCCCGTGCCTTTCACACATTAACAGAAAATCAACTGTGACGAAGCACTTTTCAAATAAATGCATATAGAGATGATGAAATACAAATAAGTGGTGTTAATGATTGCTTACAGGATGCTGGGGTTGCTAGGGAAGCTCTGATTGTTAGGAAGACAGCTCAGCAAGAAAATTTACTTGGGTAAGTCTTTAATAATACACAGACTGTATACATCTGTCTGACGTTTCCCATGTGAACCCTTGTACCAGTGATATCATGTGGCTTTCATTTATGTTAATATTTACATTCTAAATGATACAATGCTGTAACCGTTGCCAAACTAACGTAACAGAGACTTGCATTATAAGTGGATCTTTCCTGCGAATTGGCTGCAAAGTACAAAATACACACATTATTTAGAAATAAGGTTGCTGTATTTTCACCACAAGGTGGCGCTGTAGTGTAGAGTATTACTAGTACTACAAATTAAAGGTATATGTACTGTAATGTTCAATATGTTTGTGTAAGTGATTGAAAAATAATTCAAATTATTGGTGCAAAAGTATTTAATCTTCAGTTAACAAGGAGACTGTCGTTTTTATGCTCAAGAATTTGTAGATATACTTTAAAATTGATTTTTCTTTATCTTGATATGCATCTCCAGTGTGCCAAATCAGCCAAGTAATAAACACCCACTATCACCTGGTAGTCATCGAAGGAAATTTACACTGAGAAGTGCCTCACCTGGACCGCATGGCAGGAAACCATTAAAAGAGCACAAAGAAAAGGGTGAGTAAAAAGAAACCGCTATTATGAGAAATATTGAATAATTATTAGTGGACGAACTCAGAAAACAGGGTTTTTGTGAAACCATCTTCCTCTCGTAATGACTTTATGGCAATTTAATTGGTATCCTGCCATCAACCAGGCTTGGTCAAAGACGAGCAACTGCAGAGCTTAACCGAGGCTACCCCTAAGTCACATTTGTTAGTGGTCGAATCTCTGCCATTGGATTTAGCCTTTCCATTCGGTCTGTGGCACACATGCCCAGGGTAGGGGTCAACCCTTTTTCATCTACCACTATGCTACCAGTGATCATGTCTGTGATGCAGGTAAATTTAGCTATAAAATGAGACAGTGAGAGATATACTATTAATACCAGACTCTTGACCCATCTTTCACAATTAAAACTGAAAGAAGAAGTTTCTATTACCCAATAGAATAACATGGAACATTTTCAAATGACGATGTTATGCACTGCACTCATTTATGAAAGTCAACAGAATGGGTTTGTAGTGTTGATAGTATAAGCTCATGAACATAGCCATACAAACATGCAAAGAATTCACTCGTCTTTGTTTTGCAGATGAATCAACACCAAAAGAAGGTAAAAGTAAACCGCATAATTGGAAGGGTAAAATCAGTAGGATCAGTAAGAAATTTGGTCCTGGTTCCCCTGTAGTTGATGGTAATGTGAATGGTACATTTAATGTTGTATTGGAAGCATGCCCACCTTCTCCTAATAATGAGGTAAGTAACAATCCACTCTCTGTTACTAAAACATTTTACCGCATACTTAATGGTTTCTATGGTTGTCAAAGTGCTAAGAATACAATTTATTCAATTTTCGTGACTGTTTGCAAATAGGGAAGTTGATTGTTGCTGTTTTCCAATAATTAAACCATTGTTATCCTACATTGACGCCATTAACTATGATGTGACAACATATCAACGCTACAAAATGATGTATTCTTGATTGAATTTTTTCCATTCCAGTTTGTACCCTATGTGGTAGAAGTGTGTTGTACAATAGTGGAAAGTATAGGATTAGATTTCACCGGTATCTACCGAGTACCTGGCAATACAAGTGGTGTTACACATTTACAAGAAGAGTGTGATAAAGGCATGGAGGATATCAATCTGGAAGACAAGGTAACCATGGTTCACTCATGACACGCATAATTTGTTTAGCGCCCTCAATGGTGACCATGCAAAATCATCATAAGTCACCTCTGAGGGCGCTGGTCAACTTGACTTTAACACATCATTAGAGTTAAATTATTTATAGTTTTTAGTTTAAATTGATTAGTGTTTATCACCTGATTTGTTATATCATACAGCCTAATATAATGCTATTGTGTTTTAATATTTGTGATATTTCATATCTGTTGTTTCCAGAAATGGAAGGATGTCAATGTGGTTGGCAGCTTACTGAAGTCGTTTTTCAGGAAGTTACCAGAACCAATCGTGCCAAGCGGTCAGTGCCTTGATATATTGATACACCTCTTTCTTCAGTTTCAGTATTCACTTATTTTCAATTTGTCACAAACTATATTCAGCATGGTATGTGTGCCAGCCATTGCTGTGTTACTTAACATCATTTCTTCTTTTATGCGTATTCATGTCATCTTTGTATTTGCGTTTGTATTTCAACATTAGCAAAGCAAATAAACTTTATTAGCCGCCCCATGCCGTTAAGTTAGTGTCGTCAATATGTGTAGTTTATGTTGGTGTTACAATAATAATAAGATAATTATACTAAAATTTCTATGTACTGTATTTCAGATCTGTATGGTTTGTTCATTGAAGCAAACCGGAAAGAAGAACCCACGGAAAGAATGAGTGAACTAAGAAGACTGGTGAGTACTTTCAATTAACATACTGTGTTTGCTCTGTTAGAAGAACACTAAAAATTGCATTTATTGACACATGATTACGTGATCGTCAAATTAAGACTTATTTCGACCATAGACTAACCTCATGTATGTAAGTACATACTAGAAGTGTAAATATTCTATAAATTAAAAACTGATGTGCAATATGTGACTTTACTGATTTATTCTGAACAACAATTATATAATATTCACACGTTTCGGATAACTAGAAATATGTAGTATCGGTATTGGCCCATAGTTACCTTCGCCATTTCATACTATCTGCTGCTGCTGCTAGGTTATGGAACTTTATTAGATGTTTGTTTGTTTGACATTTGTTCTCTCCACACTGCAGGTTCATCAGCTTCCAGATCATCACTTTGAGACACTGAGATTTTTAGCAAAACATTTAAAGAACATAGCAGATAACTGTCATGCTAACAAGGTAGAATTTTTGCCGTTGTCATAGATTTTGAAAAACAAACTTAAAATATCGAATGGTGACATTTTATCTCAGTAAAAATAATCTTTGCCTTTGTAGCAAATTCACGATGGTCGTTGTGACACGTGTTAATGAATTTAATCATATGGAGGTGTGTTTGTTTTTTGTAATAGATGGAAGCTCGGAATCTAGCTATTGTGTTTGGACCCACATTAGTCAGACCAGCTGAAGAGAACATGGTGATAATGGTGACGGATATGTCAGATCAGTGTCGTATTGTAGAGAGTATAATTATGCATGTGAGTACAGAGTGATTTCAACATTTATTATCAAGCTTTTATCCTTCTCTTTGATCACTGTATTTGTGTCACTGTCTGTAATCATATTATTTCGTTTATTGACACAGTACTGTAAAATACTTTATTATAGCTTGGAATTTAATTACATTATTTTCACTGGGATGATTTGAATTCAAGCTAAAATGAAACATTTTACAGTACCTGATAAGCTACCATGGACATTTCTACATTAATTTTCTAAGAGGAGGCAGAGGGTCGATAATACGCTTAGGGTCATCAGGAATTTGCAGTTTTTATGAAATGATGCTTTACTGTTTCAGCTTTGTACCAAACATGTTGATTTTTGTATGTTGTTTGTAGGCATCTATGTTACATTTACTTGCACATACATTAATAACCTTTACTGCTTGATATATTGCATTGTTGTTACCGAAACGGTGATGTTAGTTGCAACACTGCCCGGCAGACTATTCTATTCGTAACTGTGGAAAAAAATATTATTTTTCATATATATTTCACATTCAACTTGACAAAAATCAGTGAAAATAAATTCCATACAAACACCCAAAAAGTCTTTTCAGCGAAAATTAATTCCAGCTAAAATAAAGTATTTTACAGTATGTGCATTCAAAAAAATGTATAATGTTGCAGGAATGTACTCTTTAATGTAGAAAATAACACCTTTCCCCATTCAAACATTTTTTACCTAGTCTTTTGAGACTAGAGACTGCAACCAAATCTTACATAATGTCAATTGTTTCACAGTGTGACTGGTTCTTTAGTTCTGAAGATGCTGATAAGCTGGAAGTACCAATCGATGGATCTACCGAGGCCGCTCCCTCATCTAATATGGATTTGTTATTGTTGAAAGTTAAGGAGGAAACACGTAAGCGTCAACAGTGTCAGTAATTATGCTTGCTTGCTTGCTAGTGCGTTCTAGTGGTAGCTTACTAATCTTTTGTTTCAGTCACTCCACATTGAACTTACTATAAAAGATGAAATTTAAGTTTAATTTCAGCTAACTTGTAGTAAAATCTTCCTTGTAGTAAAAATAAACATTAATGCATTATCATTATTGGTAACGCATGCGCTAACGTAAATGACCAAAGTGTGCGCTTATGTGTGCTTCTATTGAAAATGCGCTTTTAATAGAGAAAATACAGGTATAAGTCTAGGTTAACGGTTAACCTTTTCACCGTCAGACTTTCTTGACCAAATTTTTTGGCACTTTTTTTTCTGATATTCTTTAATATTTCCGGAAACAGACCTTAATTTTGGAACTAACAGACAAAAGTTGAATAATTTTCAATTTGTACTCAAAAAGGAAAGTGCAGACTATAACGAGAAGATTTTGTAAATTTGTGATGAAAAGAAGGAACTGGTGGTGAAAAGGTTAAAGGATGGTGGTCATTGTGCCACATTTTCAGACATTAAAAAAATATGCCAACATTGATTATTGCTCGAATCAACATGCACAAAAACGAGACGCTACCAAGGTTTACCTCAGTCATTTATGATGGGAATGCCTTGAAGAACTCTAAGGAGTCGACGACGTATTTAGTGCATATTGAATCAAAACCTGCATTCATGCTTGCCACTGAAGGAATATCGCTGTTTATCAATGCAAATCTTGCTCAAACAAGTGTGGCATGTCGACCACTGACTGTCCTTTACCTCATACAACTACTAAATTCTTCTGTTTAATTCAGGCTGTGTGTATTTTTTGCTGGGTTTGCAAATAAAATTCACTAACCTTGGTTCTTGTATTTATCCACAGGTGATCCAAAAGAGCGTAAACATAGTAGAAGAACGAAGAAGTCGATCGTTACTGCCCCGACAACTCCAGATGATGAGGATTTTGGCTTTAGTGAAAGGAATATTGACTATGAAATCTCAGTCCGCATGAAACGGCAAGGAATGTCCCATATTAAACAGAGCGAGGCTGAGAGTACGGTTAACAGTGAGACAAAACAATCAGAGGAGAGAATACGTGAGGTGGAGACTCATGAGAAAAAGATTGAAGTTCATGAACGTAAATCGAGTTCGTCTTCAATGAAGACAGGGTCTCAGAGCTCATTGGAAGTAAAATCAACAACAGAGAGCGAAGGGTTAGGGTCATCAGATCAAGAGGCTAGTGAAAAAGCGAAGAGTTACATTCGAGCGTCAAAACAAGCCTTTCAAAGAAACCAATATTTACCACATAAATCTTCATCTACTGCCATGCGAAAACTTTCTACAGAGTCTGAGTTGAGTGTCATCTCGCAGAAATCCAACACATCCTCAAATGGAAAAATCGAAGACCTAACTATTGATAGGAGGAAAGACAAAGAGAGAATTGAAAAACAATACGAGTTAGCTTTGAAAGATTTGGAGAATGAGGACAAGCTGGACAATGATGATTTTGCGTTGAAGGTATCTGCGGTTTCCAACGAAATAGTGAGATTGCACTCACAAGATTATGAAAAAGAAAAACACACCAAGACTGAGGTGTCTTCAGTTACTTCTGATTACTCAACAACGACCTCGTCCTCAACAAACTTTGTAACAGGTGATATAAAAACACCGGACACGCCCGGCAGCCGACTGGATTCAGATAATTTCTTTTCTCCAGATTCTGATACTGAAAGTGATCTAGTAACCAGTATGACAGAAACCTTTGATCAAAGGCTGAAATTGTTGCTCAGTGCAGAAAATGAGCCTGAAAAAGAGGCACAACTTGAACATTTACTATCACCAACAGAGCAAACGCTGCCTGTTAATAAACACAGGCGTCTAAGGACTTCCAATACCGATCCAAATTTAGGTCAGCATCTCGATGCTGTAACTGTGAAAAAAACTGATTCTAGGAGTTCTTTAGATGATGCAGCATTACCAGATTCTGCTAAACTAATGCATAATGACAGGCCATCACAGAAAGAATTCAAACGTGGGAAGTCAGGTGAAAATGTCAGGGGAAGGAGACCACGTCCAACAACATTGGCGAACACTGGGAGTATTCCTACTAGAAGTGAGAATGAAAAAGAAAAATCTGTGGTTCAACAGTCCACCTTTTCAAAAGCAAGAAGAAAAACTCAACCTGTTGGTAGCACCAGCAATAGCCAGCTTTTGACACCAACAGAGCAAACGGTGAACAAACTAGTAATTGAAAGTTCAACCTCACCAAGTGAGAGATCACCATCTCCTTCTAAGAAAGTTAGCCGAATTGAAGTTGTTTTGACATTACAAAAAAAAGAAGGCTTATCTACCGCTCCAGTTGCCAATACGTGTGGCAAAACTGAAGTGACAACAGGTAACACGAAGCAACAAGGTTTCAATCAAAATGAAAAGGAGCTATTTAGGAAAAAGAAAGATCAGAAAATAGATTGGAATGAGAATCGGACAGCTTCTCGGAGAAGACATACTTTGGGTGGTGGCAAAGATCTAAAGGATTACGAGACTATGTTATCAGTGTGCGTGAATGGAACTCACGAAAAAGAACGTAAAACAAGTGCCTTTGAAAGGCTTAAGCCATTTGGGCTGGAAAGTAAACAATTAGAAAACCTGACAATGAAGTCATGGTTACGGCATCAAAAAAGTGCTGGCGATTTATTTACAGATTGTGGTTCAAAGAAATCTGCTGATGAAATTGGTTTACTCAGTAAACATCTCGGTATCGCTCCAAAAGATAACAGAACTGCAATTGACAATAAGCGTCAAGTGATCACATCAAGTGAGAAACGCAACATCCCAAAGAGCAAGACCCTGGATGCACATCCCCAAAAACTTGCAGCGAAACCAAGATTTTACGATATTGAGTCATATTTGTAATAAGCTAAATATACAGTGTACTTAAATTGGTTGATGATTGAAAAAAAAAAACAGCATTATCTGTGTATTGCAATGTGTCTGACACAAAGCTTTCTTTTTTTTCATCTTTAGTGAAATTTCAGTTTGTGCATAGTTTACTGCTTTCCCGCCAAATTACTAAACGGCAAAAAAGAACACGTCAATACTTACTGGAAAATTGAAGACTTATAAATAAAAGACTTGTACAGTTTACTTAAAGTGCCTTTTCTATTTATCACTTGTATTAGCCTACAAGCATGTACATAAATCTTTTAAACTTAAAGATGACATTTGTTTTCAGTCTTCCCAGAATTGTCTCATCGACCCCAGATGGTGTATATTGAGAAAAGTTTGTGTGTCCCTTTAAAATCTAGCCAGGTAGTATTACCTTTGAAGAGATGTACTTAATTTATATTGAAATAATCATGTCTTTAAGTTTGTAGATGAGAAACAAAAGAACTATTGAAGTCTTCTACCGGCTAGCAATTTGTCTCGAATTGAAATAAAGGGACATGGTATATTTTGTTTTTTGGAAAGCAAACATAAATTTTTTTTACATAATAACATTTACTGTATTAATCCTTGTATTACTGCTTGTAAAGTTTTATTTAACTAAATAATGCCAAATTTGAGCTTTTTTTTTTTTTTTTAAACAAAAAAACAAAGAAAACATTTGCTTATGCAGCAAAGCCTGTCAAAAACCAGAAAGTATATTTTCATTAGATATGTTCATCGCACATTTATTTGATACATTTTAAATGAACTCAGTGGAAAGTTACTCTAATTGTTGTGTTTTTTTAAAGATTTTTATTTTGCTTTTGTACTGCCATGTTCCCAAGTAATGTCATGATGATGTATGGAATTTTCCACTATTTAATTTTTTTTAATAAGCTTAGGGGGTTAATTCTACTATAATGATGCAGTGAATTACCTGTACTGGTATCTGCTTATCCTCGGGGGCGGAGCTACGTCACAAGACGTTCCACGTTGCTACGACACGCACCACTGTACATGCATTTCTATGGGCTCTGTGCGCGCTGCTGTGGAACGCCGGTCGAGTCGGTGAAAATTCGAAAAAACAACACAAACTCAACTTTGAAGTAATCCCAAACAACCAAACTTTAATATATATGTTACACACGTAGGGCTAATCTTGTTACACTGTTCAGAGGAGTCTCAACAGTTATCCCAAAGTACCGTTTTCTGCGAGTTTTGGGCCTTTGTTTTCACCGCCGCAGGTTGCCAGGCAGTGAAAATGCCCGGATGTCCGCCCCCGATGATAGGGACTTTCCACTGCTGTTATGATTTGTGGAATTGTCGTTTATTTTCTTTATGTGGTTTAGAGGGTTTCTGTTATGCTTCATGAAATTTTCCCACTGTCATTGTTTATTGTTGTTGGCTTAGGGGGTCATTGCTTTTTATCGTTAAACTATGAATGTTGGTATTCAGCATTGATCTCAAATTTTCTACCTGACATAATGAGAAAAACATAAAAATTAATCTTTTTCACCACCAGATTTTCTCCCCCAAAATTTTCTGCACTTTTTCCCTCATGCTCTTCAATATTTCTGGAAATGAACCCTAATTTTAGAGCTAACTTTCAAAATTTGATTCAATTTTCCAATTTTACTCAAACAATTTGACTATTATT